GGGAAGGCGGTGGGAAGGCGGTGGGAAGGCGGTGGGAAGGCAGTGGGAGGCAGTGGGAAGGCGGTGGGAAGGCAGTGGGAAGGCACTGGGAAGGCACTGGGAAAGCAGTGGGATGCAAGGGGAAGGCAGTGCAGACAGACAGAGAGCAGCTCAGGGTGGCCAAGCAAGAAGCAGTGCCGCCCTCGGGCCACCAGCCCTCGCACCCCGCAGCCCCAACCTCCCCCCAGCAGCCCGGCCCTCGCCCAGCCCCAAACCTGCTCCCGGTACCCCCCTTCCCGGCTGCCCCCACCCCATGGCCCTCGCCCCAACTCACAGCAAGCCCCCAGGGCCACAGTGACCACCAGCAGCAGCAGCAGGCTGGCTGCCAGCAGTCCCGCGGGGACACGCCAACGCTGCGGCCAGCGCCCTGCAAGAGATGAGCGCCCACAGGCTTCACCCCACGGTCGCACTGCCACCACCCGGTGCCCACCCTGCGTTGGGGCATCCCCGCGGCAGTGACCGTGGCCGGACTCTCACCTGGGCTGGGCTCCACCGGCACCGGCCCCAGCGGCACGTTCTCATAGGGGCTGTCATCCTCATCGGGGGCTGTGGGGCAGGCGGGGGAGGTGAGTGGGGGGGCCACAGCAAACTTCAGGTCGGCATAGACCACGCTCTGGTCCATGTGGGTGGGCGCTGCCCCGGGCGGCAGCAGTCCAGGGACTCAGTCCTGCTCTGCTCCGCCGCAGTCAGGTGGTAGGCTGTGGCCAAGACCACGTGGGGTGGACTTCATGTACAGGAAAGCAGAAGTAGTTGCTTTATTTGCAAAAAGTGGTTTTATTTCTGAGGGTGCGCTCACTTCAGGGGGTGGGGGGCTGAACGAGCTCCATCGCAGGCAGCACACTGTGCATCCACCTCCACAGGCTGCGAGGAGTCCCAAGAGCCTGTGTGTACCGGCCACAGCAGGGCCGTGTTGCCCCATACATCACCTTCCCTGTCCTAGTGCCTGCCTGAGACAGGATGCAGTGACTGTGCGGGCTTGGTCCTCTGCATGTGCCAGGAGGGACACCCAGGGATGTCCATGCCAGAGCCGTGTGCTGCTAGCACAACCCGGGTGGTCTATATCACCATTACAGCCCCCAGGACCAAACCCCGCCAAGCCAAGCCCCAGCAGGCCTTTTAGGCTTTCGCACATCACCCAGCCTCAAAGCAAAGTGAGGGCGTTTGCTGTGACCTCCTCAGACTGGACAGGCACCAGGAGACAAGCTGCTGCCCAGCCCAAGTCCTCTGTGGGACTGGGGAGGCAAAGGGTCAACTCTCAGCTGCCTTTCCCGAGAAGCATAAACCCCGGGCAGCCACCACAATCAGAAGGCCCAGAGCTTTGGGGGGACCTGCTCCAGCCTGCACAGGAGCTGCTCCATGCTGCCACCAGGCCATGAGGACACTCGGGTCGATGCTGGCTCCTGGTCACTTCCTTCAATGCCACGGCAGCTGCAATTTCACACCAGACAGCGATGTGACCGAGCCAGTGAGCTGGAGGATGCACCTCCATCCCACCACCCTCATCCCCCAAAGTCAGCCACAGCATCCAAGTGCCAGAGTTTATTGGCAAAGTGCAGAGATCCAGGGGGGTAAAGAGGTCTGAGTGAGGAGGCAGCGGCACCCAGGGATGCCCTGGGTTGGGCAGGGACCAGGGTGGTGGGACAGGCTGGAGGTCCCCACGGTCATCAGGGCCTCACACAGGTGTAGGTGGTATTTCCCCAGAGGAAGGTGGGGGGTGAGGACTGGAGCCACTGCAGGGTGGCCGCGCTCTGCTCACAGACCCAGCCGAGGGCTTCCCTGCACAGACCGCCTGACAGCCCCAAGCCTGACACCCTGCCGCAGGCCAGGAAGGAGCTGGTGGAGCGCTGGATTGGGAAGAGCCTGCAGGGAGAAAGTGGGCTGAGATGGGGTGTGCAGGAAGGGCTGGGGTCATCCCATCAGCAGCTCCTCCAGCCAGAGACCAGAGGCTGCACAGAGATGCTGTGGGGGCAAAGCTTGCCCTCCCAATGGAGCACTGTCCCCTGTCACCCTCCTCCCGATCAGGACACATGCTCTGATCCCCCCCCACCCTACCCCTGCCTGTTTGACATGCAGCCCCCAGCCCAATCATACACGCAGCACCCCCAGGTCCCTCCTGGCAGGGCTCAGCACCAGCTGCACCAAGCAAAGCCTGGGAACCTGCTTGTGCGGGACCCTGCCAGCCCCTCACCCAGGCAGGGTGTGGGCACCAGGGTCAGGCCCCTGCAATCTTCCCTTCCCTAAAATGCTGCAGTGCAGCCCTGGGAAGATGAGAGGTGGCCAAAATGTGGAGCACATCCCTGAGTGCCAGCAGGCTGCCTGTCCCCCCATCACCTCCCCAAGACCTGGCTGGGGACAAGCTGACAGCCTCACCCCTTCAGTGCGGTGCCATCCAGCCACTTCCAGTCAGACCTGGAGCCATCCCGCTTCAGCCCCACGTGGAAGACCTCCATGTTGGCTGCGCGCACAAGGAAAGCCTAGTGCAGGAGAGGACCTGCATGAGCTCCCTGGGGAGACACCCAGCCCTAGCCATGCGATTAGTGATGGGGGCCATGCAGTACGGGCACAGCATCGCCGGCTCCCTGCCTGGAGGCTTGGCTGGGCTTTCAGCACGTGAGCCAGAGCCAGGGAGCTGAGTCAATGCTGGTGGTGGCTGGGTGACTGCTGAGGGACCTTGAGGTGATCACCAACCAGCCTGATGCTCGCGGGGAGTTGACGGGCCAGGCTGGGTGCACTCACCAGGGTGGCGTTGGCTCGGACGGTGACCAGCTGTGCCCCTCTGGAGCAGCAGTCGTCTCTGCTCTGCTCCCAGCTCTTTTTGGCAGAGGAGAAGTAGTAGCACTGCCCCGCATCCCAGAGCCAGCCGGCCGGGCAGAACTGGCACCGCCCTGCACACCAGAAACCCAGCCTGCAGCAGCAGCTGGGACAGGGCAGCTGGCAGAGGCTGCCACCAGCCCCCAGCCCAGGGGACAGAAGGGTGACAGGGGGCAGCCAGGGTGACAACTAACCCAGTGTACCCTATGGCTGCCCCACGGAGACAACCTTCCGCTTTCCCTTACTTTGGAGCCCAGCTCCTACTTCCCAGCCCCAGCTCCCCAGCAGGAGCCCCAGGGAAGATGGGTTGGTTACATGAAGGTGCTGGTATCAGGCAAGAGGGTCAGGGAGGGGAGCTCCGGGTTTGCGAGTGTAGTACAAACTTCATTTGCAAAGCGCTGAGAACGCAGTCAAGATTTCAGCTTCACCAGAGACTGGTCAAAAGAGAGCACCCAATGCTGTCTGGCACACAGATGCTCGTGGCAGCCATGAGCCTGGTGCTGGTGGCGTGCCCAGGCGACGCTGAGCCGCACTGGGGTCATCTCTTCTGAAGGAGTCCCAGCAGTGCAGCCTGTTCAGCAGCACTGGAGCAGCTCTCCATGCCGTGAGCCAGGGGACAGGCAGCAAGGATGAAGGAAGATTTGGGGGGGGCACGTTCTAGAGTAGAGACAGATCCTGCCCCTTGAAAGGAGCATCCAGGCCTTCTCCAAACCTCTCCCAGGAGCGCGCCAGGCTCTCTTACCTCGCAGTGTCTGTTGCCCGTAGCTGGGGCTCTCCTCCATGCTCCAGTGACCATAGGTGCAGCTCGCCTGTTGTCCTAAATCTACAGAAGAAGAGCACAGGAGTGTCCCTCCCAATGTGGGCTCCCGCTCCCAGCAGTGCCCTCTCCCATGGGACAGCCCCACGGCTGCGGCTGAGGGCATCCTTCCCTCTAGGTGACCTGCCAGCCAAGCCCGCCAAGGTCCTTGCAGCTTTTGCTGTGCTTGGGAGCCCATCACATGACAGGCTTTCGGGGAAAGTGCTTCTGCCTTTTGGTTTCAGGGTCACTGCTCTCCCTCTTGTCTTCATTTTGTTGCCATGTGATGTAGTGGGATGCCCCGGCACCGTCCCCAAGCCCACACTGTTCCCCCGCCTTCCTCTCCCAGACAGGCAGGAGAGGTCTTGCCTCACCAATTTTTCTGCTTGCCCCAGAACCCACAACCTCCTTGGCCCCAAGCAGGAGGGCCCAGCTCCGTGGGCAAGCTGCAGCTCTGTCTGCTGGTACACGGGCCCCATGGTGCCAACCCTGACTCCAAGACTCTGGCCGAAGAGGCCCAGGCACAAACAGGTACTCACAGTGGAAGCTCAAGCCGACGAGGATGGTTTGTGCCAGCAGGAGCAGCAGGGAGAAGAGAGCCAGGCTGAGGGCTGCCCAGCACCAGGGCAGCCGCACCGGCTGCTGAGGAGCTGAGAAAGGGAGTTAGCCTCAGTCTTGAGGCTCGGTGGGAGCGGTGGGGACCACCCAGACGAGAAAGGTCTGTGAGCCCTGGACAGGGTCTCAGGAAGCAGCAGGGGAGCCCAGGAAGACTGAGGGAGAGCCCGTTTGCAGCACCTTGACCATCCTAGAAGTTGTCTCCCTGCAGACAGCGCTTGGCACGGGGCGGGGGGGGAGAGCAGAGCGGGGGGTGCCTATGTGCACTGTGGCACTGGGGTGCAGTGGGCATCCCCTACCCTTGAGCCCCTCCTGCCCCCCACCCCGAGAGCAGGCAGTCTGCAACGGGGCTGGAGAGGAGCTGTTTGAGAGAGGAATCCCAAAAGGAGGGAGCAGGGGGAGCAGCGCTGGGGGAACAGCCCTGCAGAGGTCAAGGGGCTGCAGGAGGGCAGGGGACCTGCCAGGAGAGTTGGGGTGCCAGGGGCAGGGAGCAGCATGCCATTACCTGGTGTGGGGGGCAAGCGCAGATCGGCGTACGTGACCCCCTCTTCCATCCCTCCCTCAGTCTCTCTCTCTCTGCGCCCCACGGGGTAAGCGGCAACCCCCTCCCAGCCCCCTTTGGCAACTGAGTATGACGCGACATGGAAAGTGTCATTTCCTGGCTGGGTCCCCAGAGGCACCACCTGGGCCACAACCCTGGGGGGTAGCGGTTCTGCCAGTGACCGGGGCGAGGGAGAGCCCCAGCCAGGCTGGCACCCAGGCGTTCCCAGCATGAGGGAACCCCGCAGCCCTGGCTTCAGGGCAGCGAGCGGTTGGGGATGGCTGCTAGCTCAGACACAGGGCCAGGGCTGCGCTGGGCAGCCTTGTCGAGGCCTCTTCCCCCGCCCAGATAGGGGTGCCACACCTTGGTGCTCCATAGATCCGTCCTAGGGACTGTGCAGGTGTAGCCATATGTTTGGGTTGATACCTATCCTAGACTGTAGCCTTCATTTTTCTAGCCTGATTACCTTGTATAAACTATGCATGCCTTACGACTATGCCCCTGAAGAAGAACTAGACGACTGATAAAAGGGGAACATCCTGCCCTAGAAGGCATCAGAGGCTAGATGCCTGCCAAAAAACCAAGAAGTCAGCAAAAAACTGCGGTAACTAGGGGAAAGGTAAAGGTGGCAGGGGGAGATTGCGACCACTGACTCAATTCAAGACTGGAAAGACTTGCCCCCCCACACCTGCAAGGAGCATGCATGCTAATTTACATGGCAAGCAAGGCTAATTTGAACATAACTAACGAAGGCGCATGAACTTAGGCAGGCTTTTACTAGTCATGTAACAATACGCTGTAGTTCTTTTGTGTGGTGTGCTAGCTCTGTGGAATTACCACCTAACACCCATCTTTGCGCAAACATGAGCTAAATAAATATCTTGGCTCTGTGTGTACGACTGGCTCATTGCACACCAGGTACCGGACCCCGCTTGTGGGACAACACAGGGGACCTGGGCATCTTTGAGGAGCAGAACACAGGGCCCTGTCCACGTCCCCAGGCTCCACGCTCTCAAAGCAGCAAGGCCACGAGGGTGTTTGTTCAGATGTGGTTTCTGCTGCCTATTTTGCATGGGGCTGCAGCTGCATCTCAGCCTTGGAAAGCGGGGGGGCTGGGGTGCTCCTTCCCCTCCCCGAGCCTTGAGGGCTGCCGTGATGGGCACCCCTGCCGTCTCCTCGGGGGTGGGGGGCAGAGTCCTCCAGCCCCCCCAGGGA